TTTTTTTTTTTTTTTTTTTTTTTTTTTTTTTTTTTTTTTTTTTTTTTTTTTTTTTTGTAGCTACTTTTTCTGGACTCTTATGCTGTTTTCAATTATTTAATGTAGAAACTGAGTACGAATTTCAACCTCCTGCTTCTCTTTCTTACTTCTAATGAAAACTTGTTTACTTTTTTTCTCTTCTTTTTCTTCCACTTTCTCTTTTATCGCAGCTTTTTTAAATGAGGTTGATTAGTTTTAAAACGTTATGGTCTACGATGGTTTAAGTTATTGTGTAGGTGTCGTGGTAAGATGTGATGGAGTTGGTGTTGGTAGAGATGATGTTTTTCTGTATTAATACGATATCATCGCTGGTAGAGTTAGTGTTGATGGAGGTAGTAGTGGAGATGGTGCTTGTTGCATTAACCACCGTATTATTCACTATATGATTCTACGGTGCAGCCTTTTTGTCGGTAATTTTCTGTGATGAATCTTATAAAGCAAAATAGTTAAAGCGGCCACCGTCGAAAAAAGTTCATTTAATTCTTAGGAGAATATAGGTTCCATTGACAAGTAGCGCCAAATGACAGGGTATAGTGGAAAGGGCTTCTACATGACAGATGTATATTTATCAGAGCTATTGCCGTTAGTTCACATTCTCTGATTTAGGGTGAATCATACAGTGTATAAGGTCAAGGTGGTAGTGGTGGCAGCGCTGCTATTGCTGGTGTCGCTGCTGCTATTGCTGCTAGTGTTGGTTGTTGCGCTGCTGCTATTACTGCTGTTGTTGGTGTTGGCACTGCTGCTGCTGCTATTGCTAGTGGCGCTGCTGCAATCACTGCTGCCGTTGGTGATAGCCCTGTCGCTGCTGCTGAAGGCACTGCTACTGCGGTTAGTGACAGCACTGCAATCGCTGCTGTTGTTGGTAGCACTTCTACTGCTATTGGTGGTGTCACTGCTGCTATCGCTGCTACTGCTGAAGGCATTGCTACTGCTGTTGATGATATTGCAGCTGCAATCACTGCTGCTGTTGGTGGTGGCAGTGCTGTTGTTGCTGCTGATGATAAAAAATTACCACTACCTGCAGTAAAACTTGATAGTGTAAGAGGCGTTGCAGTTTTTTTTTGTCGCTGTTGATATCGCTGCTGTTATTGGTGGTTCAGCTTACTTTGCTGAATTTTGTGGTCCAAGATATGTTAACATTATTTTGAAATCTTTCAACCACTTATGTGTCAGATATATTAGCGAACTGAGTGATAAATTATTTGGAATTGACTCCAATAATTCTGTGTATTCTTATGACTAATAAAAAATAATTTATAATTAATAAATTAATACCGTGAGCGCCTGTCCCCACACAGCCGGGAAAGCTTACTGGTCGCTTACTTAAATTACTAAAAATAAAATAATAACGCAAGCGCCTATCCCCACACAACCAAGGGCACTTACTGGTCGCTTACTTGATTTACTATAAATAAAATTATAATTCAAGAGCTTATTCCAACATGACCCAGGGCGCCTACTGGTCGCTTTGATTATTTACAATAAATAGAATGATGTGAACGCTAACCCCCACATGACCCGAGAGGCTTGCATTATTTAATCGATTTTATATAATCATAGTGACCAGTAGGCGCCCTATGTCATGTAGGAATAAGCTCTTGCATTATAATTTTATTTACAGTAAATTAAGTAAGCGACCAGTAAGTGCCCCTGGTTGTGTGGGGATGGGCGCTTGCGTTA